CACTGTACATTATATATATATATATATATATATTATATAAATACTAGTATTTTTTAACACATTTTTCATATATTTTTTTATTTTACTACTTTTAATAAGCATTCCGTATATCTAATATAAAAACAATACTTGCGTATGTACATCAGTCTCATCATTTCTGAGCATAGAGCTCACCTGTGTGTAATTCCGGGCTGTGATTGGTCGATACAGCGGGATGATCTGTGTGCTGATAGGGTATCGCCGTGGTGATGGCTGAGGGTGTGATATTGCTGGTTGTGATGTAGGGGCTGTTGTAGTGTGTGTTGTAGTATGGCGAATATTGACTTTGGCTGTAGCTAGAATACGTTGAGAAGTCCTGATGGAGACAATGACATGAATGAATCATCTCAGACTACTCCATACTACTTAATATGTCTCGTTTTGTACATTTCTGGACCATCTAAACCCTATTGTAGCACTCATTAATGGTTGGCTAAAATGCCATGGTAGTCAAATGATACTGTAATGTACTAAAAAATGCCATGGTTATGCTACTTTTTTTTGCAAAGCTACAACAGTATATCAGTCTCCAAGGGTGGCTGTATTCCATCAGTGAAGGTGCTGCGTGAGGCATTTTTCCTAATTTGACCCACCTGCTGTGTAGGACTGAATGGCGTTGAGCTTGTGATGCTGTTTGCACCCTGGAAAATTCCAGAAGAAATGTTGCCGCCTGGAAAAGAAGCACAAGTCTAGTTTAAGAGCGTACTTCGAGCTGACTGTGGTAGAGACACTCCAAAGCGCACGATCCAACACAAACACAGCGCAGGAAACACGACAGGCAGCGGCCGAGGAATGGCTTGTGGACGGCTGGTGAAATACAGACACGTTTAAAGCGCTCAGAGAAAGTTTGCTTGATTTATGACTATGAAAACAGTTGAGGTGAGAAAGGGCAGCGTGGAGCCCAGAGCAAATCCGTCTCTGTTATCAGACTTTCAGAGTCTGGATGTCTTTCTCCAGGCCTGTCTAGTTCCCCTTTTTCTGTCTCATTCCCTTCATATTTCCGCTCGTTGTCTTTCTGAAACCTGCCCTAGATAAATGACTCTGTCAAAACAGCACGAAATCTCAAAGGAAGCAAGCAAAAAGTCTTCAAAGGGGGAGAGAGGGAAGTGGGCTAACGCCGGGGCCGTGTTTCTGATTTTCTCCACAGCGGTGAAACGCGAGGACCTTTGGCACCCGGAGAAGGGTTATTTATTTCATGCTACAGCGGGTCTCCTGTTGGAATTCGCCTATAAATCAAACGAGACCGGCGAGATGTAGCGCGAGACGTAGTAAGCGCGCTTTCCCAGACCCATTAGAAATGCATCCATTTCACAAGCAGACAATTTTACAGTAAATGATGTCTTGGGACGCTTATGAATTACCGTAAATCACTGTAATACGTAATAGATTATATTATCTGCCATAGCACTAATATCTCATTGATTATGCTAATTAGACTGACAGGAAGTAGACGTCTTGTGCATTATGATCTGTGAGACTTTAAGTCTCATCTGCTCACCAAGGCTGCATTTAATTGATTAAAAATACAGTAAAAACAGCAAAATTGTGAAATTTCATTACAATTTAAAATAACTTTTCTATAGGAATATCTGTTAAACTGTAATTTATTTCTGTGATCAAAGCTGAAGTTTCAGCATCATTACTCCAATCTTCAGAAATCATTCTAATATGATCATTTGCTGCTCAAGAAACATTTCTGATTATTATCAATGCTGAAAACAGTTTTGTGTGAGGAACAGACTGATATTCAAATCAATATTCCCTGAAAATCTTCCCTTCCACTGTAGCACATAAATATCATTCACACATTTGGCATGGTTATAGTAGTTATTATAACAGTTTTTGTTCATATTTAAAATGTTTATATTTTCAGTTTTCATTTTAATTTTAGTTACATTTTTAGTAATTTTGTTATGCACTTTTGTCAGTTCATTAGTTTTAATTTTTTTATATTATAATTTCATATAAATTAATTTCAGTTTTAGTTCAGTTTTCATTTTTATTTATTGCCATTTAGTCATTTCGGTGCTTAAACTTATTGCAGTTAGTTTCAGAGGCAACATGTCTAAACTTTAGGTTTTCATCTATTGATGTTTTTAAAAAAACATTCAGCTTATTTCAATGAACAAAACGTTTTTAATCATTTTCATTAACGATAATAATTACCCTGCCTCACACAAAGCTATCATATGGCTTTGTAAGACTTTATTATCTACATTTATGTTGCTTTTTTTACCCTTGATGTCCTTGTTTTGTCCCTGGACAGCCCGTGGCCACTATTTGCTTCCACTGCATGGAAAAGCACCTCTAATTCTCTTCAAAGCATCTCCTTTTGTGTTCCACAGAAGAAACATCATGAGGCTTTGGAACGACATGCGGGTGAGTAAATGATGATGACTAGTAAATAATTCTGTTCCTTTAACCCTGAAAACGTGCCTGGTGCCACTTCACCTTTGACCTTGACCGAGAGTGGTCAATTTCACACTGCGGTGCCAAAATCAGGACTGCGGGCAGAAGAGGGGGGATTGACTGCTGTCCAACGCTCAGATCACACTAACACACTCCTCCAATGGCCAGCGTGTTGCAGAGGGGAGCGGAGAAAGGTTCTGACCTCCTGAGAGAGCAGAGAGAAACGCCTGACGCCAGGAGCCAGACCGCGGATAATGGGGAACAGGTGTGTGTGTGTGTGTGTGTGTGTGTGCGCGCGTTCGATCGACGACTGTAGATGGCACCTGAAAAGCTGTGCATGTTTGTGGGGATTTTGCTAACTATCAACCCAACATAGATGTTCAAAACCATGTGTATTTTTTGTATTGCGAGTTAAATATTATCAACTAGAATTTTCATGAATATATTACACAACCTTTGGGATATGCGTCATGCCATAGTTCTGAGCTCCATGTCTCGAGTTTTTTTCTGTGGCAGTGACAGGCTGACTGTATGTTCTTTATTTTTTATTTTCGTTAAGCAATTAATACTTTTATGCATCAAGGATGAATTAAATTGTTCAAAAGTGACAGTAAAGAAATTCTGTTCTTTTGAACTTTCTATTCATTAAAGAATCCTGAAAATAAAAATGTACCACTGTTTCCGCAAAATTATGAAGCAGCACAAATCTTTTTAACATTTATAATAACCAGAAATCAGCAAATCAGCATATTAGAATGATTTCTGAAGATCATGTGGCACTGAAGACTGGAGTAATGATGCTGAAAATTCAGTTTTGATCACAGAAATAAATGACATCTTATAATATACTCACATAGCAAACAGTTATTTTAAATTGTAATAATATTTCTCATTATTACTGTTTTTACTGTTTATTTGATCAAATAAATGCAGCCTTGGTGACAGAAGACACTTCTTTCAAAAACATAAAAAAAAAATCGTACAGATCTCCGAACTAGGAACAGTAGTGTGCACATTTTTGTTTTATATATATATATATAATTTATTTATATCAGTCATTCAAAAACTAAAATTCCTTTTCAAATTACATTTTAAAGTTAGCCTATTACATATAGAGAATTTTAATTGTTTGTAATTGAACAGTCATGTAAATTACGACGGACACTTTTTGGCCACTTGACATATTTACTGAATTCACATGCTCAGAAAATCCAGATATTATTGAATAATTCCCGCAATAATTCACTCAGTGTTTATGTTTGCGGCAGCAGATCAAGCACTAACAGGAAAGGGGGACTAAAGGTCAGTTGCACACCACTTGTCCTTATTTTCTCTGCATGCAAAGTGACCGGATGCATATTTCCGATACTTTATTGCATGGTTTATTGCTCATTCCGACCTCTAAAATACCATGTAGACAAAATTGTTTACCAAGCTGTTTTATCACATGAAATGATAATATGTGGCTCTTTCAGAGGCGGTTGTGAGTGACACTGACCATGTGTGGAGTAACTGTAGAGCGTCTGAGCAGGTGGAGTGCCGCTGAAGTTGGACGTGTATCCCAGCAGACTGCTCTGTCCTGGTGAATGACTCAAACCATCTTCTGTTTTAATATCTGATCGGGTGAGAGAAAGAGACACGACCAGCTGTCAGGTCAGCAGTGATGTGCACTACTTAGGGCGGGTGTGAAATGACACTCACTGTAGGACGTCATGCTGTAGCCCTGTGTGTGATGTGTGTACGGTGTGTACGGACCGGCCGGCTGTAACGCAGGGCTGTACTGTGTCTGTCCATAAGCAGCCATGACTGAGGACAGCGGGTCTGTCAAAGCAAAGAGTTGTAGTTAGAGAAACAGATCTTAAGAATAACTCGATCCAAAAAGTTAGTCAAGACAAACTTTAGGCTGGCTTGAGAAAGCCTAGCCTGAAAGTTTAAAGTAGTTGTAAAAGCCTGAAGTTTAAAAATGTAGATAGATTACATAGATGTTGATATCGTGTGATAGCATGATTAGCATGTTTTTAACATGATTGGCCTGTTACTAGCATATTGCTGGCATGATTAGCATGTTGCCAGCATGATTAGCAAGTAACTAGTATGTTGCTAGCATGATTAGCCAGTAACTAGCATGTTGTCAACATGATTAGCAAGTTGCTAGTATGTTGATAGCATGATTAGCATGCTACGAGCATGTTGCTACCATGTTGGTAGCATGATTAACAAGTAACTAGCATGTTGCTAGCAAAATTAGCACGTTACTAGCATGTTGCTAGCATGATTAACAAGTTACTAGCATTGTCACTAACATGTTTTAGAATTTTTATTTTGTTGTGATTTTATTTCATTAAAATATAAACATTATTTTTTACATTTTGTTTGTTTTTTTGTAACTTCTTTTTTTATATATATGTCTATATACTGTCATACTAAAAGAAAATAATCATTAATGATTAATTAATCATTAACAAGTCCAATTTGTGAATTACACTTTTTTTTTTTTTTTTACAAATTACTCTTATTAGCTTATTAGTGCTGTCAAATCAATTAATCGTGATTAGTTGCATCCAAAATAAAAGTTTGTATTTACATAATATATGTGTATGTGCTGTTTATATGTAAACATAAATCCACACATACATGTGCATATTTAAGAAATATATGTAAAATATATTTACACAAAATATGAATCATATATAAATATATACATTTTTTAAATATATAATCATGTATGTGTGTGTATTTATAAATACATCAAAATATACACACAGCACACACACATATATTATATAAACAAACTTTTATTTGGAATGCGATTTATCACGATTAATTGAATTGTATTAATTGATTAATCGATTTACATGAGGCTAATTTGTGATCAGTCCATTAAAAAGAACCGTTTCATGAGAGTCATTTGTTTGTGAATCAGACTCCACTGGTTGTGCTGTTTGTTCAAATACATACATCTCAAAACCACGAGTCATCAATTCTTCGAAAGCACTAAAAGAATCATTAATGGAACTGTTAAAGAATCTGATCATTAAGTGGAATCCAATTAAAAAGCAAATGACTCTTATGAGCTGGTTCTTTTAAATGAATCAAACAAATGAACCGGTCTCTAATTGATGAGCTATCAATTGTTTAAACTAAGATTCCTTAATGGAATCATTAAGGATTTTGAATAATTAAGTGGAATCCAATTCAGGAATGAATGACTCTCATGAGCCGTTTCTTTTTGTATCAGCCATTGGGGGAAGAAAAATTCACTTTTTTCTGAAAACAAGTTTTATCTTGCACTTTCTGCTCCTTACGCGCATGCATCTTGTTTTAAGGATGATGATTTAGATTTTGCATTGGAAAACAATAATATTTATTAAGAAAAAATATTTTTGCATTGTACAAGTGTAGCCCAGTGTGAATAAAAATAGATATCACTCACATGGCCTAAAATCGTCGCCCAATGTGTAGATCTAACGGCTCCTGTGAATAAAAGAAACACTTTAAACATTCATCTGAACCACCCTGAATGCACTAGAGGAAGTTCATTAAATCCAAAGTGTGCAGACCTGTGGCTGTCTGTCGTCGTACTTCCGCTTGCACGCGTTCAGCTGTCAGCTCTCCTGAAAAAGACAGACCTGTTTGTCAGAAATATGTGATCTTAAAAGCACACCGGGCTTCGGTCCAACATCACGCATCTCCAAAGTAAAAAATATGCAGAAGGAACCAGAACATAAGAATGCGGAAAGCGCTATTCATGTCTAATCGTGTCTTGCACAGGAAAAAACGTATTTCTCAACGACGAGGCACCTGCGGTTTCCAAAAACACACATCATTAGAATTGTGAGATACAGACAACAGTGAAATGCTTGTTTGTATAAACCGGCTCGGTAGGACTGTGTTCCTGGAACAGAACAACGTGCAACCTGCTTCTTCAACCTGGCTGGCATAATTTGGCATTGTAAACCGCAGGCAGAAGTTCTGCATGCCAGAAGTTCAGGATGGCTGAAAAACAGTGGTTGTTCTTGTGCCTGAAATATAAGAAATGCAACCGTCCCCGTTCTGTTCTGGTCTGGTAATGGCAAAGTGCGGTACATGCATGTAGGAATAGTTTGCATGAATACAAATGAGCGAAGATAAGGTTGAAACACCGCGAATGACCTTGTAACCTTGACCTTTTTTCTTTTTTGCTAACCAGGAGAAAATTGTATTGCTCTTTCTCACGAACCTTTCCTTTCAGCATCAGTTTTAGAAACCTTAGAAGAAAAAACATATAGGCAAACTTTTCATTTGTGAGAATCTGATGAGACATTTTTGGAGTTTGCATTGATATCTCTGGTTTCTGATTAAGATATGACTCGTCTCAACTTCCTGTTTCAAAAGGAAACATGTCAACACAGGACAGAAAACTGTGCCTGTCATATAATAAAGTCTGTATTTGTTTTCTTATTGCTGTCTATGAGAAATATGATCATATTTGCTTTTATGTCACATTAACTACTGCACATTGTTGTTTTAGTATCACTGATATACTATTAATTAAAAATTTTTTTAATTAGGGTTTATTTATATATTTTAATTTTCATTTTAATTGAGTTTTTGTCATTTTATTGTGTTTACTGTCATTTTTATCAGGTTTTGTAATCAGGTTATTTTTATAATTAACTAAAACTGAATCAAAAATTAAAAACACAAAATATTTCGTTACTTGAAATAAATGTTTTATTTCAGCTGGTTTCCAAGGCAACATTTATCATTTTAATTTAGTTTAACTGTGCTAAAATAACTAAAGGTAAAATGGAAATAAAAATTCATAAAAGTATGAATACATACCCCCCCCCCCCCCCCCCAAAAAAAAAAAAAACTATTAAAATTGACAAAATTACAAAAATGAACTCAAATTAAAATGAAAACAGAAAGTAAAAACTGATTTAAAATATTAATACAAATTATAATAGTATCTCAATACCACTGTTTAAAATAGGTCTAATTCTTGTTAACTTTTATTTCATTTATGATTATTTTATTGTTTCTATTTAAACTAAAAGATAATGAGAAATTATGCCTTGGCAACTGAAATAAAATAAGTATTTTTATTATATATTAAAAAGTATATACATTTTTAAATAATTATTTATATATTTTTTATAAATGTTTTAGTTTTAGTTATCGATAATAATCCTGCTACTGCGGTACCAGAATAAACATCTCATGCTGCCAAAACCTGGCTCTCATCTCGACTAAGACACACGCTTGCCGTAAGGTCACTTCTGACAAAAAGAAGCAAAAAGCTGTTGTCTTGCTCTAAACTTCTCCCTGTTTCTCCCTCAGGGCTCCTCCATCTGTCGGCCGGGGCGGAGAGACGCTCGATGTGAGCAATATCAAGAGAGCAGCTGCTGTCAGGAGCAAAGATAGAAAAGGAAGGGCAACAAAATGGTGAAATAAGAGCCCAAATGAGAGCTTTCATACAATTACACAAGAGTGGGCATGTACATGTGCGATTGACCTCAAACGCAGACATTTTTTAATTAATCTGACAGTTCAGACAGCAGCGGGGTGAATGATGTTTTGGCGCCTGCGGTTCGGTGGCACTCAGCGAATGTTTAAAACAAACAGAGACAATGTCTCGCTGCTGCTCGCTCTGTTTTCTCAGTAAACAGTTGTGACACTACCGTACGGCATATTTGTGATTAAAGAAACATATCACGTGACTGTCATAATGACAGCAAAGCTGAAATAATTAACATTTTTTATGTGTTAAAGGTGAAACATTTTCCAGTTCAAAAGTTTTAGCTCTTAAGAAATGCATAGTACTTTTGAATGACGTGTGATAGAATTTGATTGAGTTTTTCAATGGCGGAAAATGATGTTGTATATCTAAAAAGTGCTTATATAGTGCTGATGCATATGAGTTGCATGCAAACTTAAAAGCTTATTTCTGTTTTTAAATCTATTAACTTGTAAGATAACATTTCACTATATATGCAATCTTCTTGGTTCTCACATAAATTCTTGTGCTTTTTTATACTATTGTAATTTGTACATAAAAGAGCAACATCAAACAGTGTTGTTATTGCTAATTAAAACTATTCAAAATCATTAATTGAAATAAAGCTGAAATAAAATATAAATATTAGATGAAAAACTTGAAAAATGAGAAATAGAAATGTTGCCTTGGGTAACTAACTGAAATAAAATAAGTTTAAGTAGTAAATTTACTACTAAAATAAAATTAAAATAAATTCAAGCTAAATAGAAATATTTAGAAAAAAAGGGGAATAAAGGGGAAAAAACTAAATCAACCTGAAAAAAGCACATCTGAAAATGATAGAAACTTAGAAATATAAAACCATAGAAATGATAGAAACTATAAAATATGAAAATATAAAAATAAAAGCTTATTAAAAAAAAAAATATATATATATATATATATATATATATATATATATATATATATATAAAAAAAAATAAATATATATATATAAAAAATAAAAAGCTTTTGTAACATTATAAAACGCATAGTTCCGGTCCTTGATTCTGATTGGCTGAGCAAAGTTCAAAGCTGTTGTAAATTACTCTACAAACATACATCTTTTGTTTACATTTGTGTGTTGCTCGCAACCACTTTGTTGGAACCACAACCGTATTAAAAAAAAAAATATATATATATATATATATATATATATATATATATATATATATTTAAAAAAAAATATATATATATACAGTATAATAGTACATAAATAATAGTAAAATAGGGTCAAAATTGTGCTGAATAACTCATGTTGTGTCTAGCAAACAAACATGAATTTTTAACAACATGAGGGTGAGTAGCTGATTTTTCATTTTTGAGTGCACTATCCCTTTAATCTCATATAAACATGCTCTCACACACAAAACACAAAGAGCAGTTCTCCAGGTCAGAGATGCAGCGACTGACACTGATGGTTTTCCCACACCTGCTGACGCACCACTCCTAACAAAACCTTCCCCAAGAAAATAAACAAGGCCAGAGAGAGACGAGTGCGGGCCGCCCAGCGGAGTCCTGACTTCCTCCCAGAGTTCCTGTGATGCGCAGTGTGTTTCCTGGTACGAGCGTGTCCCGGAGCGAGAGGGCATGGGAAAGAACGCTCTACCCCCTTTCATAGCGGTAAACTGAGCTAAAACAAACCCGGGACGGGGCACGGCCGGGACAGAGCGCTTCACCTGGCCTCGCCGCTGTTCTGCTAGCGTTGGCGTCTTTCATGGCTATCGTGTTCCACACAACGCCTTACATCATACATCACTGTGCACTGTCACATGTGCATCTCTTTTTACCCAGCATGAGTGTGGTCCTGGAGGAAAACCAGTTGAGGAACTGCTCACATGATGAAGCCCTCAACAGCGGCTGCACACTTTTTTAGTGCCATTGGTTACGGAAGTATTTTTTTCCATTGAGATTTTTACAAATTACAAGCCATGAACCAAACCAACATTACAAACTTTGTCTATTTTTTTCAGATTTTCAAATAAGTTTTTGCTTCAAATCAAAGATACAAAACTGTGTACTTAACAGCTTTAATGAGGGAAAGAACTACAATCCCAAAATAAAAGATAACTACTGATTTAAAGATGTTGATTATATTGATTATATATAGTATATGCACACACACACACTCTCAAACTACTATACATAGTTTGAGAGCGTTTAGTGCTTCAGGAATTAGTGTTTTTGGCACTATTTGCTTGTTGTGATTCTCTGAACTATTAAAAATATTTTTCTTTAATTAAAATATTAAAATATATAAAATATAAATATTAGATAAAAACTTAAAATTAAAAACTTTTTTTTATGACTTCAAGTTAAACTAGAAGAAAATGATAATTGCCTTGGAAATTAAAATATAAGAAGTTACATTTTTAAAATATATTTAGAATTTTTTTTTTTTCTATTAAAAATTATTTTCTTTAATTAAAATATAATAAAATATAAATATTAGATTAAAAAAACTGAAGGCAAGAAATGTTGCCTTAGCAACTAACTGAAATAAAACTGAGTTAAAGTTGAAGTACTAAATATACTGAATACTAAAATAATTATAAAAATGCTTAAAAAGTGAATAAAATGACAAAAGCACATAACAAAATGACTAAAACTTTCTCTGCAGAATCATGGGTAATGCAGTTTCTCACCAGGATCTCCGCTGTAAGAAATGATGATGTCCTCATCAAAAGAATATGCCAGTGAACAAGCTCGAAGCGCACAGTAGTTCTGTCTTTAACGGTTTATTAGTTATAGTTAAAAATCAGTTCCTCTATGAACAAAAGAAATGTGATTTTTACTTCCGGACCCGCCTGTTGTGTTCTGCTCGGCTTGTCCTGACGGGATCATTATGACCGGGTTTAGAGAGCAGGTTGTCTGTCTTTGAAACGAATCATGAGCCGTAGCTTTGCCATATGGCTGTCTGATTCACAGCGAGCTCTCCAACCCGAACCGTGATCTAAACCGTTCAGTCAAAGCCACCAAACTTCTCATTGGCTGGTAGCTGAGGGCTACGTCCCATATGGCGCTGGGTTCACGGGTGACCGCTGCACTGCCTGAAGGGAAACCGCGAGACACAGTGACCTCACTACAACAATGCAG